TTTTACTATCTTACATATAGATTCTGTATACCTTTCAGGGTCCTTACAATCCAGTAGAGGAGTCTTTGGTTATAGACAATCCAGAGACGGGTCTTTCTGCAGATCTCACGTTCGAAGAGAATCACCCAGAGGAAACTGAGACCTGTGCAGGTGAGCAATTCATTCATGTTGAATATGCAGCATCACAACAAACAACGTAAACATGCACATGTGTCCAGCCATCTTCTACCGCTTATCTGGGGTCACTGAGGAAGTAGTTCCAGCAGAGGGCGCCAAACGTCCCTTTCCCTGCCCACATCAACCGGCTCTGACTGGGGGATTCCAGGGTGCTCCCCTGCGTGGAGATAACATCCCTCCACCTGGTCCTGGGTCTGCCCCTCTGTCTCCTCCCTGTGCCAGTGTGCCTGGAAGATCTCTCTAAGGAGGCTGCCATGTGGCCTCCTTACTAAATACCCAAACCACCTCAACTGGCTCCTTTCTACGTGAAGGAGCAGCCGCTCCACTCCGAGCCCTCCCAAGGCTGCTTCTCAGGTCGACTATTTTCATTTCCTCGCTCCTCGGTCCTCGGTCTCACCGGAAGTTGATTTGCCTGCGCCATCTTGAGTACCGTCCCATGGCTCTTATTTCTGCCGGAGGACCGAGGAGCGAGGAGCGATCATGGAGGAGCGATAACCGAGGAACCACCAGACCATCCTCCGATGAAATCCTCAGATACTCACCCCGCCCCCTTACTGTGTATCGCTCACTGATTGGACGAGGCAGTGCATGCACTGATCTGATGCTTCTTGACATGAGAGCAATACCCCAGCGGAGTGAAGAAAATACATGAACCTCACGGGACTCACTCCTCAGTTTATACCGTGTTTTGTTTCAATTACTGTATCATTTAGTTACAAATATGAGATATATCTGAACAACAAAGTGGTCAAAAATCATTTTATTCATTTATTGGAAACATTTTCATGATCGCTTTTTTCGTTTTACATTTTCATTTATTGTCATTTCCATTCAGTCAGTCATTAAGTGCTATTTTAAAATATGAATTTGCTCCACACAAACAAACAAAGTGTGCAGTCCAATGAATGTTAATCTAACTGGGTTTTGATAGATAACATATCTGTTTTTGATCTCTGAATAATTGTATTCCTATTGTGCACTGCACTCTAATCAATATTAATCAAACTATTGTTCGTTTAAATACATTTTAAGAATGGCGTTTATCTTTTTGGATAATTACTTCTTATTTTATTTCATGTATTTGGATCTACAACAGATGATACTAATGTTTATGTCAGTAAATGTGCACTAACAGAGGCGGGGGTGTTTGTGGAAATAACGGGGACAGAGCTGGCTGCTGTCAGACGATCAGCTGTGCAGCGTCATCACAAACGGACGTCGCTTGCTTCACGTGACGCTCCAGAGGAAAGGACGTCCCATTGCTCTTAAAACTAATTTCCCTGCTTCTCGTGGTTTCCTTGCGTCCCTCCATGCTTCCCTGGTGGGAGGGACTAGACGCAGGGAAACGACGCAAGTGAGGGAAGCAAGGATTTCATTTAATCGACCTGAGAAGCAGCCAAAGTCTCACCTTCCCCCTAAGAGAAGATGCCAGCCGGCCTCCATAGTTAACCCATTACAGCCGCTTTGATCCGCAGTCTTTTAGACCATAGGTCAGTGTAGGAACAAATATGGACTGGTAGATTGAGAGCTTTGCTTTTGGGGTCAGCTGTTGGCAGCTCCAACTGCTGTGATTCTCCGGCCCATTGATTGATTGATTGATTGAAAAGTTTATTAACAGCTTGTATATTGGGTACAGTACAGTACAGCTCAAAACATACAATTGTTAAGGGGATGCAGACCAGAGAAAGACTTTCGTCTTGTTTACATCAGGGTCCCCCATTTCCAATTCATCATGTCATTTAAGACATATAATACATATTTGACATACAGATGGCTTATTTACAATTTACATACAGGTGGTTTTTTACATACAGATTGCTTATTTACAATTTTCATTTTAGATTTCGTTCTAATACATCCTAACCGGACATTTAAGACATACCAAGTCTACAGATATACAGTTAGTAACAGAGTCTAAAATGCGAGTATATACATAGATGGGGGGGGGGAAGCTGTCCATTGAACGACAGGTTGAGATTTGTACCATTACCGGGGCCAGTTTTGCAATGCTCTCCCCCGAAAGGTGCTCTTTAAGAGAGGTTTTGAAGGTAAGTATAGTTTTACTTTCCTTTACAGTTGTGGGAAGAGCGTTCCACCTTGATGTGGCATAATTGCGAAACGTGTATTCCCCCTTTTTTGTGCCAAATCTGGGTTTCACATGATTGGTGGAGCTCCCTCTGGTGTTATGATCATGGTATTCCTTGACCTTTGGGAAGAATTTTGACATGTACATGGGTACCATAGAGGTGTAGTGGATCTTGTAGACCAGTCCCATTGCAAGTAGCTGTACTCTGTCGTCTACTCTAAGCTATCCTAGGTTGTCAAAGTGGGCAGAGGTGAGGTGGGTTCTAGATGAAAGGTCAAGCAGTAGTCTGACCAGTTTATTTTGCGATGTTTGAAGTTTTATTTTTAGCGCCTTGGAGGTGCTATGGTACCATGACGTGCAAGCATAGTCATAGTACCCTTGAATGAGTGCTCCTGCCAGAGTTTTCAGGGTGTTTTTGTTTACCAGAGAGGAGATCCGGTATAGGAATCTAGTTCTTTGATTGACTTTTTTTATTACATTGGATGCCATTTTGTCACAGGAGAGGTTTGCCTCAAGAATAGATCCTAGGTATGTAATTTCCTTCTTACTTGTGACAATAATGTCGCCCACTGCAACTGAGAAGTCGTCGGATTTGCTGAGATTATGTTTCGAACCGAAGAGAATGGACTCTGTTTTACCCAGGTGTAATGATAATTTATTATCAGGCGAGCCAGGTGCAGATTCTGTCCGAGCTCGGAGCTGAGGGTTTTTTCAACCTACAACCTGCTTCCTGCCAGAGACCAGCAGGGCTGAGTCGTCCGCGAACAGGAACAAGTTGCAGTCACATGCTGATGACATGTCATTTACATAAATTAGGAACAGTAACGGACCTAATATGCTTCCTTGTGGAACACCACAGCTCACTGGGAGGGGGGGGACAGAGTACCGTTTACCTCCACCATCTGTTCTCTCCCCTCCAGGTAGGATTGCATCCAGCTCACCGATAGTTTATCAAAACCAATTGCTTTTAGCTTGTCAATCAGAATGGGGTGATTGACAGAGTCGAAAGCCTTTTGTAGGTCCAGCATCACCATGCTGCAGTACTTGCCCTCGTCCACCTCTTGTTTGATGTGGTCGCTCAAATAAAGAAGGCATGTGTCAGTGGAGTGGGATGTTCTAAAACCAGATTGAAATTCATAGATTAGTTTATTTTCCGCGAGGTACTTTTCGACCTGTTCATATACTATTTTTTCCATGACTTTCGAGATGGAGGTAAGTATAGAAACAGGGCGGTAGTTGCCTGGGTCCAATTTGCTGCCGTTTTTGTGCAGGGGGGGAGTTTGTGCAGTTACTCTTGCAATTTTGAAGTCTTTGGGTACTTTTCCCTGTTTTATGGAGAGGTTAATTATGTGAGCTATGACTGGTGAGATGGCGGTTGCTGTGTCTCTGAGGAATTTGGAGGGGATATTGTTGTGGCCAGTGGCCTTGTTAGGTTGGAGGGCGCTCAGTTTAATGAGTACCATCTCAAGCTCCATTATCCCCTCACTCAAGACCCTAAGATACTTGAATTCCTTCACCTGGGGCAAGGATCCTTACTCGGCGTGGACAGTCAATCGGTTTCCCGTTGATAACCCTTGATCGAAAAACATAGTGGTACTACCTCACAATCCACACTAAACAGCATTTTGTTATCTTTGATTATAGAACAGTCTTTTACAATTTAGTTTTGCTACTTTTACTTAAGTAAAAAAGTACTTCTTCCATCTCTGGCCTAACAACACTTTTTTGTTATCTTTGATCATAGAAAATCAAAAGTCAGAGTGTTCTGCAAATCTCACATTAGAGGAGAATCAACCAGAAGAATGTGCAGGTGAGTACTTAATGTTAGCCAATAACCAATCAGAGCAGACTGAGCTCTGGTTTCAGACAGAGGGTCAAGACGTGCTGCAGCACTCATTGAATCATGAGGGTTTTATTCAAATGTGCAGCATCTGTGGTCTTTTTCTAAATCTATTGAAAACGTGTGGTAAAAGTTGGGATTAGGTAGTCTTAAAAAGGGTTACAGATTTAGGTGATTTATATATTGTATGCTTTATAAATAGACGAACCCGGAGGACATCAGTTGCTTAGTTGACAAGACAACACAAAGGTCATTCAGTATTAATGAAAAATAAAGTCTAAAACCTATTTGTTTTTCAGATGAGCAGAGTAGTGCAGATGAGGGCAAAGAATATCTATCTGAGGGAGACTATGCTGAAGAAGAGGCACTCGAGGCCCCTGAGGCATCAGCAGAGGAGCGGAAAACAGAGGAGACATCCTACATTCTGGAAAAATCTCTGAATGCTAATGGAGGTGACCGACAAGGATACACGCTCCCCAAAATCAGAAGCAGCTACACTTTTAAACAAACTATTGAGAACATGCACATTGGAAAACCGGCCTACAGCATCTTCAGTGCCTATCAGAGCCCGATGGAGACCCTCAGCGGCGAGGGGGGTCCTGAACTCTGTCTACCTGCTGGGAAATCCAGGAAGGGTGTAGCAGGCAGCCCTCAGGGCAAGTAGAGGGCAGTTTGAAACACAACGAGCAGGTTCATCAGGAGCACTTCAGTCCAGGCTAAGCCGCTGATTCCGGGGTTCAAAAATGTAAGAACCATTCAAACTGTACAGCTGGGAGTTTCCTCTATTGTGACATATTTCTCTGAATAAACGATTGTTTGACTCAAACAGTTCATTGTGATAGATCTGATTTGTTTTGCTTTGGTGTCTCTAATTACTAGAAATAACAGTACAATGAATACAAGCTTTTCGTGTTTTATTTTTCTTAAAAAGGCATTAACAAATCATTGTTTTTAAATAATACAGTCCAAACATCATCCAAAGGTCAAAATTCACCAAAATAATATAGAGCAATATAAACCAGCCAGAACTTAAACGCACTGCATTTTAAAATGTTGACCTGGAGCAGCAGACAAAAAAAAAAGACGAAATACAGAGGCTGTCTTCATCTTGAACGATAGGTTAGGATGCCAGTGTTGTCACTCAGCTGACGGCGTGCAGACCCAGAGACACCACCTTGTTGCAGACCACCAGCCAGCAGGTGATCCCCACTCCACCTGAGGAGAGAGAAGAGCTCTGTCAGTCTGTGGATAGAGTGTTGGAATAATAAATGCATGATAAACTTGAAAGAGAAATCAGGTGGTTTTTTTACTTTATTAATACATGATTTCTGAATGATTGGCCTGAAGTCCAACAGATTTCCGACACTTAAAGGTGGGGTAGGTAATTCACTTCAGACACACTTTGTTATATTCCATGGAATGCTCTTAACATCCCGATGGCAATGAATATATTAAATGCTTTGACAATAAATACACAAAATGTCATCTGTGGAAGCTGTAATACTGTAAAAAGCACGACAAATCATCTGAGCCGGCCCGGCTAACATAACTGGATGGCCTACCTGCCTGTCAGCCTTCCATCTGTGCACAAACTTATCTCGTGCCCTCATTGGTCATGTGCGCGTTCGTGTGTGTTGGAGGAGGGGCTCTGTGAGGAAGTCTGACGGAAGGGGCACATTTTTTTCGGGCTGCATACTTTCAAATTCTAGCGCACTCAAGCTGGTTTCTCCATTCTTACCTACCCTACCTTTAACTTAAGCATGAACAAAGCCTCTGTATAATGTGAGCGACACATGGCATATTATCTCTGCTGCTATCAGTTCCTACAGTGGAGACCCTGTCCACTATCTCCCACTCCAACAAACTAGAGCATGGTTCAGCTAAAAGCCTTTCCTCTGTTTTCACCACACCTAAAGAACTAGTGCATTGTGGGAGTTATGGTTGAGATAGTGATGGTTATACTGATGTCCAGTGGTCTCCAGTCAGTGTAACACACGTCTCTTTAGCTGATTCCTTCCCTTTTTCGTCTTGTCACTGCCATGTGATTCATGATCAAAATCAGTGCTTGTAGTACGGGAGCAACTTTGGGTCAAACTTGCTATTGTGATTCATTTGAGTCTTTTGTTTTGCTATTAACACGTTAAGGTGTCCAGATGTATTGCGAGCGCTAACACATACACATCAGCACTGTGTTTGTATAAATGCATAAAGAATCCATCTAAAGAAGAAGAATGGGTTTTCTACCTATGGATTTACACTTTTCTGGAGTATTATTTGTGTATTTTATATAGTTAGAAATGTGTTGACCTGCATGTTTCTTTTTTGAATAAATGATATTTTATTAAATGAAGTATGGAAAATAGATTGATTACCTGCCACTCCTGTTGGAAAGGCCACCAGGCGCTCCACAGGGGCGATCCATTTACTGGGGACCACCGTCACTGGGTCAGCGTAATACTTCCATATCAAGGAGACCATCAGGGCAGCCTGGGAAATAAAGACAGAATAAATACGTAATGCATTTTCTATTTGATTTATGATAGAAAAAAGACACCTTATATATTGCGGCAATAATATTCCAAACAAAGTGCCGCGAGGGACTAAACAAGAGAAAAACATTGTGGACGCGCAAAAACTCAGTCTTTCCATTGACCTTTTATTTCCAAAGCAAACATGCAATAGTCCATACCCATATGCGTATGTTCTTTTATCCGTACGTGCGGTCAACATAAATTGTCCTTCTCCAGCTCACTCCCCCTCCATCTATCACAAAGTGCGCAGGTAAAAGCAACCGGATATAACCGCAAACGTCACCACACAAATCCAATGACACGCCCAGTGACTCAAAAACATGTACCGTAACAAACACAGAAAAATACTTCATATGTGGCTCCTACGTTATATATCAAAGATTGACAGATTTGTCACAGTAAATACAAATGTTTTGGATTAAATATTTAATGTCCTACCTGCAGTATGTAGAAGACGATGTTCACAACCCATTTCATTTTGGCTTGCCCTGCCGTTCTTGATTTCACTGCAAAATAATAAAATACACAACTGTTAGACTCAATGCAATTTAATTTCAAAACATATCTAATACCATCATTTATATTTCATTTTTTAAAAGGTGGTTTTACAATAATCTGTCCAGGGACTACAGATAAAAAATAGCCTCTTGGCAAACTGACGCATTTACGAAAATGTTGATTCATGTGCACAGTCTCTATTCAATACATTAACACAATAAATTAAAAATAAAAGTGTTTTGTGGTGGTCAGCTTAATATAGGTATACTACATGAGTAAACATGTTGTTCAAACAGTGGAGAGTTCTCTTGATGAACACAACTGCAATGACAATGAGTCAGCTCATATTGGCTACAGCTTGATCAAGGGATATTTTAAACTGTCAGTCGAGAGAAAGAACATATAGAAACAGATACAATTAAAAATTGCCTTAGCGCTTCTGTATGCGTTTCATACTGACGCTCTGATAAGGCACTTCCTGTCTGTGCACAAGATAATCCTGAGGGAGAACATCAGCCGGCTGCAGCTGTCGCCACTGATCTCTTCTGTCACTTATTTAAAACCGTTAACAATTTCCTGCGGCTGTTATTTTTACTGTGTGGATCTGATTTCCTAGGCTTAATAGGAAAGTCAAAATACGGTTTACTAATAAAATATGTGGATCATCAATATAAAAAGGGATTATAAATTCAAATTTGTTCAAGGGTATTTTGCATTTTAGTCGCCCATTTCACGTAAATGTTTTTTTTAAACTTTATTTAAAACCCTCCTGTTGTCTTCGGGTAAAATCTGACCGATTTACTACTTTCATCAATCATAACTTTTTTTGTTTTACATTCGATTGCATTAAGGCTTTATGATATCCTTCACAGTAGACATTTAAACATATCAAATTGCTGATCACCACTTTCATTGAATTTTGGACACCCATGGTGTTCTCGGTCAAAAATGACCGCCATAAAGAAAAGGAATTAGTAGCCATCCGGATCAGATAAAACACACACACAAACACCCACACACATACTCTAGATGTGTGTCCCACACTTATGTGCCCAATCCCCCATGTAAATCTCACCTGGCACACGCAATACATGTTCAGTGTCTATTCTTTGTATATTCACTGCAGTTTTTCATGTATACCAGTAGTCTGAAACAATATTTACAGCTTGAAAGGGTGTTAAATGACATTTGGTGATGATTAATGTTTTTGTGTTAATGTAATAGCAGTTAAAATTGTACTGCGAACACCAAAGTAAGGGGGGGGAAACAAAGACAATAGGAGGGTAAGATAATTTTCTAAAAACATCAAAAAATATTTTAAATAAATTACAAATTTGTAAAACTGTCGGGGATTTTTTTTTTTTTTTACATTTAAATGAGTTTTGAAATGGTACCATGTCATTGAAACATCTATAAATACGGGAGAAATGTGAGAACGAGATTTGTGAATGAAACATTTTGCCAATATAAATCAGATTTCCCCAATTCTTTTTTCTCTGTTTGGTTATTATAAGTTGGCCAATACTGGAAAAAAGGTTTTAATTATGCTTTAAGAAAAGAAGGGATGTTCTAGTGTTTCAATATCTGCATGACAAAAGGTACATGTTTTTAAATCTCAATTAAATCCTTGGTGATTATTAATTAAAAGGGTACATCTCTAAAATGTATCCCTTTAAAATTTGACTTATTTGACTTTTGGAAAGGTTTTGGTTCTAATCTTTATTGAATAGTTATTTGTATATTTCCCTTTTAGCGGCGGGGTTTCCACATTTTTTTAAATCAGCGTTTTTAAATTGTAAAAAAAAAATGAATGCTACTTTATTATTTTACATTTTGGGGCTCATGTCAAACTGTGTATTCTATGCATGTCACTCATAATAACTACGTATTTTCTCTCACCATGTGTTTTCAGCTTGTCAGTCATCTTGTTGATTTTGCGCTCCAATCTGGCATATCTGGCAAACTCATCCATCATGCTTATTGAGAGCTGCTCCTTCTTCATCTCCTGCACCTCAGACCTCATCTCACTCTCCTGCTCGGCATCTTTTTGCACCAGTCTCGAGAACTTTAAAGAAAGACACAGAAAGACAAGACTTTAAATGTAATGTGTATATGTGTAGGGACTCAATACCACAGTTAAAGGTGGGGTAGGTAATTTTGGAGAAACCAGCTGGAGTGCGCTAGAATTTGAAAATACACAGCCGGAAAAAAATCTGCCACTTCCTTACAGAGCCCCTCCTCCAACACACACGAACCTGCACATGACCAATGAGAGCACGAGATAAGTTTGTGCACAGATGGAAGGCTGACAGGCAGGTAGGCCATCCAGTTATTTTAGCCGGGCCGGCTAAATTGGTCGTGCTTTTAACAGTACCACGGCTTACACAGATGCATTTTTGGTCAAAGCACTTAATATATTCATTGCTATCGGGATGTTAAGAGCATTCCATGGAATATAACAAAAAGTGTATATCGAGCCGGTTTCTCAAACTTACCTACCCCACCTTTAATGCATGCCCCTGCTTGCATTGGTGTAAGCAACAAAGTAGATTTACTCAAGAACTGTACTTAAGTAGAATTTTGAGGTACTTGTACTTTACTTGAGTATTTCAATTTCAGGCTACTTTGTACTTCTACTCCACTACACTGCAGAGGTAAATATTGTACTTTGACTGCACTACATTTCTGTAGTAGTACCTTTAGTTACTTTGCCGATATGAATTAATGATACAAAAAATATGATCAACACTTAAATACAACTTTGAAACCTGGAGTAAAATGTTCAAGCTATACCCTGCAGCAGACAAATTAATTAAAACTAGCTGCACCTTTACCAGCTTGACAACACATTAATGTATCAACATTTATAATCAAAACATATAATGTATATGATTCGGAAATCTGCATAATGAGTTCTTATTGTTTTTTAACTTTATCTATATTTTTCATGCTAATACATTTGTACTTTTACTTAAGCACAATTTTGCATGACGAACTTTTACTTGTGCTTTGAAACTGTAGTATTGCTACTTTTACTAAAGTAAATAACCATAATACTTATTCCACCTCTGCCTGCTTGACATTAAAAGGCTGTATCACTGACCCAGTGCTTTTTAAGCTATCTCTTTAGCAGTTACACATTGCCTAGCGTTACAATAGGCTATTTACATTTGAACAATGATGCAGAACAAAATGTTCCCCCCTATAGGCACTAAATAGCGGGATCTCAGAGAAGACCCCACCCTCTAACTGTAGCACAGCATTTACGTTTTTTTTTTTTTAAGCTAGCTATACATCAAGCCTCCAGGAAGTGAGCCAGCCATTGAAGCAGATTTGTATGAATCGTCTTAGTGGCCAAATGGTGGTACGATAGCATCCGTTACGTATTCGTCCGAAAAACTATTTTCCCCCACTGACTTACATTGGGAAAGAGACGTCTGTATATCAGCGTATACGTTTTGAGGGGCTAAATGAACTCCGCAACACTAACAATTGTATAAACCTTATTTAAATCATTCGAGTCGTACATTTGTCAAATGCGCTAAAAGCAGAATCGAGAGTTATGTTCTCCCTCCATTCATTTGACTAAACAATGAGCGGGAGATCTCCAGTGCGCATGCTCTGTGGGCAAAAGTACCCGGATGATCAGCCATATTTTGGGCTTCATGCGCCACTGAGCGACTTTCATAAGAATGAATGGTTTCCACTTCTCTTTAAACAGCCATGTAGCAAAAAGCGTAGAGTAGGCTAAGCTAGTGAACAACAGTCTGCAAATTTAACTCACATCATACATAACCTAGACATATTAAGTAACTTCACAGCACGCACGCCATATTTTTTAACACAAAGACCCGTATACATACGAAAGAGGATATGGACGGAAGGAGTGTTTTCATGAGGTTGACCAGAAAAACCGAGCCCAGCACAAGGAACCACGCATAGCTGGCCGCCATGTTTGTTTCTCCTCCTTGTTGCAGTTACAGAGGAGTTATATAACAGGCTAATTAGGTCATAATAAATAGCCCATACAGGGTTTTCTTGTTTTGTTTTTAGCCTAAACACTTCATAATAATTTGTGTTTATCATGAGAATTTCAGTATATTATTTCGTTTGTTATCTTTAGGCTGCAACTGTTATACACTTCATTGTATAAGGGTTTGTCAGTATGCATGTGAATACTTGGCGTGCTTGGGTGATAGCTTATTATGCATGATCCTTTCAATCTTGTAGCTCATAACATGTTCATGTTTGTCGTGCATTTTTTCAAGTAATAAACACAGACACAGAGACAATCTGGGAACAGGCTGTGATTAAAATGTGAGAGTTGGCTCGGGCACTGGCAGAATGATTGACACACGGTCCTGCCCACACAGGTAAGATGTTTTGGTTCAAATGTGTGTTTCCTCGACCTCAAAGCCAATCACTGGAAGCAAGGGGCGGGTGGTTACCCTCCCTGCTAGGTTGGTAGGATAAGGGATAAAATATACAAAGAGGAGGATCCAATCCGGTTGGAGCTAGTTCTAGTACTGGCCGGACGCATATGTTAAGTTACAGACTGATCCGGAGGTGTAAGCAGCAGAGGTGTACCCACATTCATTTAGTTTCCGCCACTGTGAAAGGCTGTGTTTTTCTTCTGTCTCTGCCGCACCACTTAAAGCAACAATGGGAAGAAGGAGCGCCACCAAAGTAAGTGAAAATGTGAAATTATGATAAATACACTCGGACTTTTTTTTTTTATAAAGTAAAACATTTTCAACGGTTTATTTACAGTTCGCTACAATATATGTGTGTTACCACGGCATACGCTTTATAAATGTTCGCTACAATGTGACCATGTGGCTGCATGAGGTCCATGGTTGCTGTGCTCAGGTCTGTCGTATCTCCGCTGTTGATACAGGGAAGTGGCGCCTTTTTACTTAGTGCAGTGAAGTGTAACACACTTTTCTCATCGAACACTGTTGCAAATATGCACGGCTTCCCTTAATACTGCGACTTTGTGGATGCTTTGTTAAAATGCACAGCTCATCCGACCGTGGTTTAATATTATTTAGTCCTACCGTGTGCTGGGATCAAACAAAGGGGTGTAACCACTGTCGATGAACAGGTTGCCTTTTCGGAGACATTTATTGCGCAATTGCCTCGGGATACTTGAACAGATTGCATGCATTACTATTTATGTAGGTATTTGCACTGAGTAAATATCGAGTTGTTATTTGCAACACACGGTGACCTCTGCCTGCGCCTTACTGTAACACTGATCATCCAGATCGTCATCCTGTGGCCGGAGGCGTAAAAATCGTTTCTTTGGAGGTGTCATGGCAGCTGATATATGTTTGGAAAGACGGCGACACATGTTGTGGTAGCCCGAAAAACCCTGTCGACGGTTTTTTTTTATTACCGATTTGCCACAATAGAGGGGCATAAAGAGGATAATCGTGATTGATGAGCGTTTTTAGGAGCGCATCGTGAGGTGGGGGTCCCCTCTTCTTCCCCTTCCCGCTTTTATCGGTTAAAAAGTAGCCACAGCACCAGGCTTACTCAACAAAAAAACATGCCCGTCTCGTGAATGATAAACAACAGTGTTCGGCGGGAAGAAACTAGAACTGGATGAACCTCTGTAACTCAGAAACTTCCCCACTTCTACGTTGCATAATTTCTTTGTGACTTGAGGGGAGGGAGAGTTGCCCATCCCCCTCTTTGCGCTACACACCCACTTTAGCTCAGTCATGAATGGCTCTTGTTTCTTTTGCATTTTTTAATTGAGTTCTCCCTCTTTCCTCCACAGAAATCCGCAGAAGCAGCCACAGAGGTTAGTATGCACGTGTTTACCCATTTATTGCACCATACTGTCCTCGACACCCCAACTTTAACTGAAATGAACATTTTGTTCTACTTTTGATCAAGACAAAGAAAATGTCTCTGTTGGTTCAGACTGACTTTAAACATCATTTAGTGCATCCCAGTTATACTACTGCCAGTAAAAAACAAATATTCTAGGGATGAAATATTGAATTAAATGGCTAAAATGCTGATATGATCCAATCCTGCTCTGCCCACTGCATTGATCAGCCACAAGGGGGCACTGTTAACATTCACCCCAAATCGTTTTTCTTCTTTGGTCATTTTAATTTCCGTTTAAAAAAAATATATTTTATAGTTTGGGCCATTTCACACCTATATTTTGCTTCAAATTGCACTATGCCTCACATTTGGCCATTTAGATTAAGTAAAATGAGCCTTTGCAGTCTTCAATATCTGAATTTGGTAATCAATAGAGTTCCCTGTTGAGTGCCTATTATCAACGTTTATTTAGCAAGTAATTGCAGTTCATTGTGAGTTTTATTGAAGCTTATTTGCATATAAGCTAGATATTTTGATTAGCTTAAAATGTGCATGTTTTAGTATATACCTTTTCACTCTCACAAAGAAAGGAAAAGGCACTTATTACTCCCGTTAGGACTCATAGCATTTTTCGAATGGGTTACATTTATTTGTGGCATTATGTGTATCAATTACTTACATCTTGTGTTTTGTCTTTTTTATATTTTAGCAGCCACTGAGAAAGTCTCAACGGTTGTCGGTGAAGGATACACCAGAAGAGAAACCAGAGAAGCCTGAAAAGACAAAGGTAATTACGAGACGCATCAAAAAGCACTGTCTCCATTTCAAATGCACTGTTTCTCTATTCTCTATTGCATTCATTTCATGTTCCTTGATTGTTTTTTGTCATGGTAGGCACCTCCCAAGAACAAAAAGGTAGCCAAACCAGTAAAGGCCAAGCCAGAGGAGAAGAAGAAGAAGGAAGAAGAGGAGGAGGAGGAGGAGGAGGAGGAAGAAGAGGCCACTCCTGCAGAAAACGGAGAGGCCAAAGCTGAGAAGGTATGACAGACTTGTGAAATTGGGAAATATAAGTAACATTCAAAGAGAAACTCGATAATAATGCATGTTTTTCTTCTCCATCCTCCAGCCCGCTGCAGCAGAAGACGCAGAGGAGGCGGAAGAAGCAGATGAGGCAGAGGAGAAGGACGACAAAGCTGAGGAAGCCGAGGAGGAAGACAAGGACGCCGAATAGCCGTGACACACCTAGACTAACTTGCCAGAGCCCCCCTGTACCTCGTTTCTTGTACAATGCAGAGACTATTTTTATCTACTATTTTCATAAGACAGTAATGTTTTTAGGCACGTGATTGCAGAAATGCATTTTTAAAGAAACAACTACAAATTTCATTCAGTTTCTTCTCAGTCGTTTTATTTTTTTCGTTCCATTGTTCGTTCTCTCTGGCTTCTTACTTTGCCTTTTTGTTAGGTTTGTAGTTTTCCTGCATGACAAGAATTCGTGCCTATATCAGGAATTTGATGTTCGGCTCCGGGGGAGTTTACCTGAGACATTCCCGAGGCGCTTTGAGGGATTTTTGTAACCTGTACTGTTTTTGGATTTAATACAGCATCAAGTGTTGGTATGATTGAAGAGTTGTGCTAAATCAGTCTTGTTCATAATATTCACTTTAATCACGTTCACTAGTACTGGATTTTTTTCTTTTCCAAATGCTGTCAGAGAAGGTACATGTGAGGATGGTTGGACACATCCATGCTCTCCGCTGTGCTCAATTCAAGAAGCATTACAAAGCTAATCGTGCGTGTTTTAGTTAATCCTATTAGGATTACTGTATTCACACCTCAGTCAACAAGATATATTCGCCACCTCTCTGTGGATATATTCTTTGTGGTTTTTTTGGGATTTATCTACCAATGTACAGTTTCCTCATTTTTTTAAAAAATAAAAAAAACAAAAATACATTTTCTTTGTTATGAATGGTATGAAATGCCAAATAAAGTGGGAATTCCTGTAAACTGTTTCTCAACTATTTTGTGTGGGATTACATCATATGATTGGTGATTGTTACGTGTTGTAGATGTTCACCATGTCTAACCTGAAATTACTTTTTGTATTCACCACCAGGGAGAAGTATGTATATATAGATAGATATATATATATGTATGTATATATAGATATATATATATGAGACCAATGATAAGCTGGCAGATTTGATCAATACCAAATTTGTGAATATTTACATCTTATACATTCATATAGATTTCATTTACTTTAAGTAAAAGTCCTGCATTCTGACCACATACTTAAAGTGTGAAAGTACAAACTATGTAACCCATATGTGAATACAGCATCATGCAACTCTGAATATACTGTAGCTGCAATATCTAAACTGCACTCTAGTTGGAGCAAAACTGCATTATTGTACTATGTTCAATGACAAATCTAAAATATAATATGGTTAAAGAGTCATTATGCATATTGAGTACTTGTGCATTTATACTAGAAGTATATATAGCAGCTATGCACTTCTACTAAAGTAGCATTGTGCATTCAGGACTTTTCACTTGTAATTGACTATTTTCAGACCCTCTACTTATACTCAAGAAAAGGATGAGTACTTCGTGCACCTCTGATGTGAAGACTACAAACTAAAGTTTATGTATCAATCAGGAGCTAATTTATTCTGGAGGGAACATTGGGATTTTAGCCTTTGTGGACCAAAACCTATAGAACACACTACATGAAAAGGATCACCACAAAGAGCTTAATAGGGCCCCTTTAAAATGTACTTGACTCAACAAGAGTCAGTGACACAGGTCCCCTCTCAAAAAAGGATCATGAGTTAATGCAGTAAACCAGTCAGTATTTTCTTTAAGTTTATGGGGCAAATTCCCAAACAAATGTGCATGTAATCAAATTACCCAAGGGCAACATCACACGAGGTGAATCTAGAGCCTTCGGGGCAATAGGGCTCTTTGCCATGTTGACCTAGCTTGGGAATTTATGTCATATCCTTCAGGATATCTAATACATGATATACAGTATGATTACAAAGATAAAGCATATAGAGAACCATAGATGGAAGAAGTATTTTTGACGTAAAAATAGCAATACCACACATAAGTCAATTCACACATATGAGGAATTTGCCTTGGTGTACATAGTGCATACATAAACACAGTTGAAGAAGATAGTTGTAAGTAAAGGACCATAAAATAAAACTATTATAGAAAACTTATTTAAAAAAGAAATTCATAACATTAAAATGTAGAGAGATATCTACATAAAATATACCAAAAAAACTATGTACGGTACAGTATGATATATGACTACCTGTACTTGGCATTGTTTATTAAGATTCCTTTTCAGAGTTTTGTGTATTTCATTTTTATATCATGCGTTATTTAATACTTGTGGAGCTAAAAGATCCAAAATACACATTACGGTGTTGGTTTTAATAGCTACTCTTTATACATTTGCGTCCACTAAATTCCCCAAAAGTCAGCACTATGGTGCCTCATTTACATATTTAAACATAACATTTCATACAATTTAAAAAAAGAAAAGTCTTAATGTAAGTAGCAGACTAAGTAGATATATAGATTAATAGTAGCCTATGGAATTATACCATAATTCCTCTTTTAATTATTTTGTTCTCTGTGCCAGAAATCTCCACTTCAGTAGCATTACACCAAGCATACAAGTTTGTATTCACTATTTATATTTTTAATTATTCACTATTTATAAATTATATTCCTGATTTCTGAAGGTGTTTACTAAGGGGTTTTATTAAACATCATTCATAGCCAGGTTTAGCATATACAACTTTTGTTCCTAGGAACATGGGGGAAACTTGTTTTTGTTACGGTTTTTTATCATACGGTCTACAACAGTTGACATTAGTGCGGATTTATGGAGGGATAACAAGACAAGAGATATCAAATTAACCTAGGTAAAAAACAAAAAAAAACACTTGACTCTAACAAGTCAACAAAATAAAACAAAATGTAAGAATTTTGGATAAAAATATTAACATCGTTATACCTGGCTTTAAGTAATATTCAGATTTCTATCCCGGTAGTTAGTGTAAGCTACTTATTGTATAATTGTATACATAATACAGTATTTCAGACTTGTACTACAATACATTTGTACTTATTCACGTGTAGTATCTCCCCCAAACATGACGTTTTGAGATATATATTTTTTTACAATAAAAAAAGAGCTGGTTTAATTATTTTACAAAAATAATAAAGCATATATATATCGTCAAGAGCAAATTGGCAACCGTTACTATGACGTCATGTGCAGAACTCACGAGCTCGGTGAGAAAAAACAAGTGGGCGGCCGTTTGTAATATATATTTGTTGTTATTTCTTTAATATGTTATTTTTTTTAACATTTGGATTTCGAGACAATACGTGACTCACATAAAATAGTACCGATGTTGCTAACGGACGAGCTAACGCACACTTTAGTCTTTTGCAGAAAGTGTTCTTCGCTTCCCAACCCCCTTTTTCCTGTGTTACTCATGGATGTATAAAGAGAACTGGATACAGCGCCGGAAGCGGAGATCCGTTCATTCATACGAGAGCCGCTCAGTGGCGCATGAAGCCCAGAATAGAGCGACTGTAGATTCAGAAAGTACCCGGATCATCCGCACTGAGCATGCGCACTTGAGTTCCCCTTAAGCCCCGCCTCCGATCTGCCGCTCTCGGCTCAGCCAAATTAATGGTGGGGATATTGGTGGTGGATTCAGCTTTCAGCTCTTTTTACAACTTTTACAACCTAATGATTGAAATAAGGGCTATACAAGTGTTCGTACTGGGTAGATTATATATCTAAAAAAAAATTATGCGCGGATTTACTGACGTCTCTTTTCCAATGTAAGTCAATGCGGAAAAGTCTTTATGGGCCTAAATTACGTCACTGGAGCTGTAGTGCCACCGTTTGACCACTACGAGCGTTCCAAAACTCGGCTTCAACGGCCGGCTCACTTCCTGGCTGCTTGGTGTTACTCCGCTGTGGCGGAAGTAAGTCGTATCGCGCTGGGGCCCTCATCCTTCCAATGGCGACTGCAAACAGGCTGAATAGAAAGCGGGAGCAACCGTGGAGGGGGGTCAGAGCTGTGTAACCGAAATTAAATAAATATATCCTCGTCTGTGTAGTCCTAAAGTTAGCCTTAACATTTGTTTCACCTCTCCAAATCACGGCCGAATCACAATGGCCAAACATCGGAACATTTCGCTCCTTGAGTCGGGTAAGCCGCAAAAAGTAAACCCAATGATAGCTTAATTTACAACGTGAACGCTCCTGCTAATTGATATCTTTTATTTTCTCTAATCTGTTTAATTTCAGAGCTCTATTACCTGATTTCTCGTTTCCTAACAACGGGTCCATGTCGAAGAGCAGCTGAGGTGAGCTGCTGTGCTTTGACTAGAACAGTGTGTGTAGTATTTTCAAAATAGTTGCCTTAGCTAGTTTTGTAATAGAGGCAATCTAATGTGTGTTTTGATCCCTTGCAGGTCCTGGCGAGTGAACTGGAGGAACATCAGGTGTGTATGTCCCTGCTGCAGAGGCTGCTTGTTATCTGCTAGCTGCTGTCTGTCGGTGCTGAACAGTGGTGTAAATTAACTAAGTATATTTATTCAAGTACTGTGTTTAAATACCATTTTGAGGTACTTGTACTTGAGTATTTACATTTGTTGCTGCTTTGTACTTCTACCCCATTACACTTCAGAGGTAAATGGTGTACATTTACTTAAACCTTTAGTTACTTTGCACATTTGGATTCATTATGTGAAATATAATCAACACTTAAATAAGACTTTAGTTACACCTACACAAGCTACCATACCAACTAATTCAAACTAGCTGCACCTTTAGCAGCTTTGATAGACCTTTAATGCATTCATAATTATAATCAACACACATGATCTATATTATTCTGAAAATGGGTCAATCTGCATAATTAGTACTTATAATTGAATGCCACTACCTTTCTACTTTTACTTGAATACCATTTTTAATTCAGGACTTTTAGTTAATACTGTGGTGGTGCTGCTACTCTTACTTTAGTACAAGATCTGTGTACTTTTCCCATCTCTGCTTCGGACTGATTCTGGACCTCAAACTTGTCCCACTTATTTTTTAATACCTCCATGACTTTGATCACCGGCTCTTTTTGTACTATCGTAATGTGTAGCTGCTGGTGTTCGCTTTAACAAACTCTGTTTTCGACAGCTATTACCCGGTAGATTGGACTGGCTTGGAAACGAGCACCCGAGAACATACGAAGACGTGGTGAGTTTTAACTTAATATCTGTGTTTATGTCTTTGTTATTGTGTTGTGACAGGACTCTGTGTCCATGCGCTGTGCTTGTTTACGCTCTTTGTTCTATTTCCTGCTTAACTACTGTGGGATTTTCTCGAGTCGGAATGATTGACAAGGTCACAAGTCGTTCCCGCTGACTTAATTTGTTGGATTGAACGACATTTTGGCTCCGAAAACTGTATTTTGATAGATGGTTTTATGATATTTAGCCCCGACTGTTGTGCTGCAGAAAGGGTCGGTTGTTCGGCTTCTTTGCTACGTCGAGGCGGCTCAACTGGCCAATCAGAGGCCGAGATGCACTGTCTCTGCGTTGTTTTGCATGTGACCTGCGCTGTGATTGGTCCATAAAAGGAGAAGGTTCTGCATAATAAGCCCCGCCTCTCAGAATACGAGTGGTGAAGCAGCACATGAAACCACCAACTACGGCTGTCAGTCAGACATTTCAAGTCGTTCTTAGAGCAACCTGGAATATTATTTACAACACTTTATCACAAATGCATTCAAATTCACCTTTTATATATACTCTCAGACCAAGAATCCACCAACAAATGTGTTTTATGCTTGCTATTTTTATGAGGAAAACTTTCAATTACTTGACAATACATCTGTTTTTCATTATATCCTTTAAAACCCGAGTAAGGGGCAGTTTAAAACGAATTTCACGTCTTGATTAATTATTTA